GGATAGGAGGAGGAGGAGCTAGGAATCAGGAGCAGGGGGAGGAGGAGGACGAGGAGGTGGAGGAGGAGGAGGAGGAGGAGCAGGAGGAGGAGGAGGAGGGGTGGTCCCAGGGACGGCGCACTCGGGAGTCTCGTAGTCTTCCGAAGGGCAGGCGCGTGCTAGAACGACAACGAGCGCGAAGCGCGCGCGCGTGGTTCTAGTGTGTAAGATGATCCGCAATGTATACGTGCATATTGTCACAGTGAGGGGGCCGAACGGTCGTTCAGTGTTCCTGGGTGCGTCGCTGTAGTTTCCGCGGCGCGGATTCTGCTTGTAGTTTCGTTGTATCTGTAGCTGTAGTTGTTATAGTTGTTGTATTTGTATTTGTAGTTGTAGTTGTAGTTGTATTTGTAATTGTAGTTGTAGCTGTACTTGTTGTTGTTGTTGTTGTTGTTGTTGTTGTTGTTGTTGTTGTTGTTGTTGTTGTTGTTGTTATTGTTGTTGTTCTTGTTGTTGTTGTTGTTGTTGTTGTTGTTGTTGTTGTTGTTGTTGTCGTTGTCGTTGTCGTTGTCGTTGTCGTTGTTGTAGTTGTTGTTGTTGTTGTTGTTGTTGTTGTTGTTGTTGTTGTTGTTGTTGTTGTTGTTATCGTTGTCGTTGTCGTTGTCATTGTCGATGTCGATGTCGTAGTAGTAGTAGTAGTTGTTGTTGTTGTTGCTGTTGTTGTTGTTGTTGTTGTTGTTGTTGTTGTTGTTGTTGTTGTTGTTGTTGTTGTTGTCGTTCTTGTTGTTGTTGAATGTTAATGACAGAACCAAGCATTATTGTCGCTTGGCGCTCTCGGCTCGGCGCCGGCTACATTTTCATCGTTGAAAGTGAGGCTCACGCTCGAGCGGCTTGGGGGGGCGCCCAAACCGGCCCCCCAAGAACTACAACAACAATCTCAACGCTCCCGCTCGAGATTTCCTCCTTTTTTGCTCAGGGCCAGTGCTCTTGCTCGCCGCCGAAAGCCACCGTCCCAACAAAATCAGCGCTACCGCTCGGGACTTCCTCCCGTTTTACTTTGTACTGGCGCGCTACTCTTTCTCTCACCGGCGCCGCCCCCAGCAACAACAACGCTCCCGCTCGAGACTTCCTCCCTTTTTTCCTCAAGGCGGTGCTCCTCCTCGCCGCCGATAACCGCCGTCCCAACAAAACCAGCGCTACGGCTCGGGACTTCCTCCCGTTTTACTCTGTACTGGCGCGCTACTCTTTCTCTCATCGGCGCCGCCCCCAGCAACAACAACACTCCCGCTCGAGACTTCCTTTTCTTTTACTTAAGGCGGTGCTCCTCCTCTCCGCCGAAACCGCCGTCCGACAAAACCAGCGCTCCCGCCTGAGACTTCCTCCCGTTTTGCGCTGGACTGGCGCTCTGTTCTTTTTTGTATTGGCGCCGCTTCCAGCAAGAACAAATCTACCGCTCGAGGCTTTCTCCCTTTTTCTTCAGCACGGTGCTGTTCCTCGCCGCCGACAGCCCCCGTCCCGACAAAACCACGGCTCCCTCTCGAGACTTCCCTTCTTCAAGGCGATGTTCCTCTTCGCCGCCGACAGCCGCCGTCCCAACAAAACTAGCGTTCCCGCTTGAGACTTTGTTCTGTTTTACGCTGGACTAGCGCCCTACTCTCTTCAGCATTGGGGCCGCTCCCAGCAACAACAGCGGCCCTGCTCGAGATTTCCTCCCTTTCTATTCAGGGCCAGGTCCTTGCCTCGCCGCCGACAGCCCTCATCCCCACCAAGGCAATCCTGTCGCTCGATAGTTCCTTGTGTTTTACCCTTGGCTGGGGATCCACTGGCGGTCTCGCATCGGCGCAGCAAGGCGCGGGCATGCGTTTTCGAGGCGGGATATGTTGAATTTCCTCGGAGGAGGTGTTTGCAAGACCTCATTGGGCGGGAGATCTGGGAATGGGAATATCGAGCCCCGCTATAGAATAAGAGCCCCCCATGATAGGGGATGATTACTATGACGGTCGCATGCTTCGTGTGGAAACATCGCGCATGAGGGTCAAATCATCATTGTTGTTGTTGTTATTGTTGTTGTTGTGGTTGTGGTTGTGGTTGTGGTTGTTGTTGTTGTTGTTGTTGTTGTTGTTGTTGTTGTTGTTGTTGTTGTTGTTGTTGTTGTTGTTGTTGTCGTGGTTGTTGTTGTTGTTGTTGTTGTTGTTGTTGTTGTTGTTGTTGTTGTTGTTGTTGTTGTGTTGTTGTAGATGAACTCCCACAGTTGAATAATAATTATTGGTGATCCCCCCCTCCGGTGACCATTCCATTTTTTCAATTGACGTGCTTCCCCCGGGGCTCGCACCCTTTAAACAAACAGATATTTTCAAACAGGGGAAGTCACTAGGCTCAAATTGCGCCTCTGGCCGCCAGTTTACAACAACAGCGGCTCCCGCGTGATATTTCTTCACTATTCATTTCCAAATTGCGCTCTCGCGCGGGACTTCCTCACAATTTGTATACGAATCGCGCTCTCGTGTGGGACTTCCTCGCAATTTATTCAGACGATGCGCCCTCAGCGCTCAGGAATCACGCTCTCGCTTGGGCTTTTCTCACGACTTATCGGGAAATGGCGCTATCGCTCGAGATTTCCTTGCGATTCGTGCAGGACCCACGCTTCAGCAACCCGCCTGCTCGACTTGGTCGCCTGGGCCCGCATTCCCGACCTGCCCGCTATGGGTCTGCCCACTCGATCTGCCCGTCTGGTTCTACCACTTGTTTTCTGCTCCTTGCCCACCTTCTGCTAATTTTTCTCGTGCTCCATTCTTTTTCCTCCCCCTTCCGCCCGTCGTCTCTTCCCTTGTTTTAGGGGCTGCACTAAATGCACGTGGCAGGTAAGGAAGTTACACTCCCAAGGGGGTACGATCGCAGTCGACGAGGGCGGGTACCCAGGGTTTGGGATATACGTATTGATTGGCACGTGAGCAGATAGGAGCGAACAGTCTTAAAATGATTGTTGTCGTGGTAACTGTTGTCAATGCTGTTGCTGTTGCGCTGTTATGGTTGTCGTTCCCTTCACGACCCTGCCTGCGACCCACCCGCGACCCGCCCGCGATCCACCGGCGACCCACGGGCGACCCACCCGCGACACACCTGCGACCCATTTTGCTACCCGCCCGCGACCCACCCGACCAGCCCGCGACCCACCCGTGGCCCACCCCTGACCTGGCCCGCGACCCACCCGCGACCCACCCGCGATCCAGCTACATTGTTTTGGCGAAAAAATCGGTTCCTCCGGCGAGGTCGTTGTATAATTTGTGAAACTTGAGCGCCTGCGGCGGGCTTCTTCAGAGCTGCGCAGGGCGCCGACATCCCTACCGCCGCCTTTCCCTTATCCGCAACTGCGGAGTGTAATATATTATGCTCGCGCTGTTTCTCTCTCTCTCTCTCTTATTTTTCTATTTCTCTTTCTATAGTCATATATACATATATCTCTATATATATATATATATTTATATGTAGATTCGTTTTTGTTGTTGTTGTTGTTTTTCTATCTGTCTCGCTCTGTCGCTCAGTCACGCTTTTCCCCGTCCTCTCCTAGTAGACTGAACGGGAGGGTGCACCGACACACATGTCGCTTGTGCACATGCACACATAAATGGAAAGAGAGAGAGAGAGAGAGAGAAAGAAAGAGAGAAACAGAGAGAGAGAGAGAGAGCGAGTGAGAGAGAGAGGGAGAGAGAGGGACAGAGAGAGAGAGCGATATAAACGAGCAGCGAGAGGGATACACACATGCATGTATACGTGTATGTATGTATGTATGTATGTATATATGTATGTATGTATGTACGTACGTACGTATGTATGTATGTATGTATGTATGTATGTATGTATGTATGCAGTGTGTCTATCCATGTATGGATGTATGGATGAATTGATGGATGCATGTATGTGATGTATGGATGCATGCACGCATGCATGTATGTATGTATGCATGCATGCATGCATGTATGCATGTGTGCATGTATGTACGTGGGTACGTATGTATGCATGTATGTATGTTCGTACGTACGTTTGTAGGTATGTTTGCTTGCTTGCTGTATGCATGTATGCATATTTGTGCGTATGTATGCGTGCGTGCTTGTTTGTATGCTTGTATACCGGTTTGCATATGTGCATTCATGGAAGAATGTATGCATTTACGTACGTACGTACGCACATATACATCTATAACATATGTATATATATATATATATGTATGCATGTATGTAGGTATGAACGCATATTTGTCTGTCTGTCTGTCTGTCTGTCTGTCTGTCTGTCTGTCTGTCTGTCTGTCTGTCTGTCTGTCTGTCTATGTGTATGTATGCATGCACGAAGGTTTGTTCTGTATGTATGTGCATATTTGCATTTTTTATATACACATACATATGTATGCATCTACATTTACACATCTATATCTATATACATTTATATCCACATATAGATAAGCACCACACACCACCTATATATGTAGATGTGAAGTGCGAGATATTGAGACAGGGAACGAGAGAGGGAGGGATAGATAAACAGATAAATAGAGAGAGAGAGAGAGGGAGAGAGAGATAGAGAGGGAGTAATGTATGTATATATATATATATGTAGGGAGAGAGTGCGAGCGATACGCACATATATGAGCGATGCTATATATGTATATATATATATATATATATATATATAAGTATACCGGTATATATATATATATATATACAGATGCAATCACATCAAGACATACATATACTTTATATAGGTCTATACATACAATCATCTACCCCTATATGTATATAGAGAAACATAAGCAACGAGACAGATGAAGGGAGGGAGAGGGAGGGAGAGAGAGAGAGAGAGAGAGAGAACAGAGAGAAAGACGGATAGAGAGGGAGAAGGAGAGAGAGAGAGAGAGAAGACACATAAAGAACACGAGAGGGCGCGACCCAGCGGGGGTCTCCTGGAATGCAGGGGGGGGAGACGAGCCTTGAAAGCCCACCAGACGCCCTTCTGACCTGCCGCCCGAGGTGGAGTTCTGGAGCAGCGCGGTACCCGGCGCGGGCCTGGAGCGGGAGGCCGACGAGGTGCCGCTCGAGGGCGAGGGCACGCCTCGCCCTCGGTGCCCCTTCCGCTCGCCAGCCTCGGAGGTCGACGATCTGAGCCTCTTCTGGGGGGCCACACGCGAGCCCCACCCCCTACCCCCCCCACGACTCCTGAGGGGGAGGGCGGGGCAGGGCTCGCGTGCGATCCCCTGTCTTCTTCGAGCGCGACTACCCCGACGGCGCCGCCTTCCGGCACGCGGCCTACGCCTCCCTGGAGGGGGAGCACTGCTGGCAGCACCGCGGGACCGGCGTCCGGGTCTGGGGCGACGCCCTCGACCTCTCCGGCGGGCGCGCGGGGGCCCGCGCCGTCTTCCACTACACGTCGGCCGCCGCCTTCGGCAGCATCACGGCCCCCCAGCGCGAGGCCGCAGAAATCTGCGGGGAACGAACAACGGCATGAACATGAAGCCTCAGGGGCCCGCGCGGATTTCTCGGATCGGCGCTGGAACCCCCCTCCCTGGCGCGCAGAGCGCGTCAGGGGCGGCGCCGGAGGCGCCGCCAGGGGGCCCCAGCGTCGATCCGAGAAGTCTGAGCGGACCTCCGAGTTTTCATGCTGATGTCATATTTCGTTGCCCTAAATCTGGGCGTCGCTCGCTACGGAGGGCCAGGGCGCGAACGCATGCTGGGGCCAGGGCGTGTACTGTGTGTGGCGCGCACCACACCAGTGGGACACCGTGGCGGAGATCCTGGACAGCCACTCCTGGAGCGTGATTGCCCGAGACACCCGAGACGTGGGCAGAGGCAAGGCGTATGTGAACCAGCACTGCCCTCCACGCGTGGCCTACTGCGTCCCCATCTTGGCCCACCCGGACAGCCTCTACGAGGTCGGCGAGCTGCTGAACGAACCAGGCAAGCCGCACAGGTGCTGCGTGGTGGTGCGCGTGCAGGGCGCCACGGGCGTGGAGGGCGCTCGCTGGCGCCTTGTGGAGTGCCTGCGCGCCCGCGCCAGAGCCACAGCCGAGCGCCTCGGCGAGGACCACGTGGACGCCGTCGATGCCGCGGGCCGCCTGGGCGATGTGCTGCGGAGGCGGGGCTTTCTCGCCGAGGCGGGGCTGGTCCTCAGAGGCGTGCTCGAGCGCAGGGAGCGGGCGCTGGGGCAGGAGCACCAGGACACGCTGACGTCCGTCAACAGTCTGGCCAGGCTGCTGCAGGACCTGGGGCGGCTGGAGGAGGCAGAGCCGCTGCTCCGCCGGGCTCTGGAGGCCCGCGAGCGGACGCTGGGGCCGGAGGACCCCGCCACGCTGATCTCCGCCAGCAACCTGGCCATGCTGTTGTACAGCCGGGGCCAGCTGGAGGAGGCAGAGCCGCTGTACGCGCGTGTCCTCGAGGTTCGCGAGCGGACGCTGGGGCCAAGGCATCCAAACACGCTGAGCTCCGTCAACACCTTGGCCACGCTGCTGCAGGCCCGCGGGCGGCTGGGCGAGGCGGAGCAGCCGTTCCGATGGGCGCTGAAGGCCCGCGACCGTGCGCTCGGGCCAGAGCATCCGGACACGCTGCTCTCCGTCAACAACCTGGCCGCGCTGCTGTACGTCCAGGGCCGGCTGGAGGAGGCGGAGCCGCTGTACAGGCGTGCTCTGGAGGCCCGCGAGCGCACGCTGGGGCCAGAGCACCCCAGGACGCTGGTCTCCGTCAGTAACTTAGCCGAGCTGCTGCAGGCCCGCGGGCGTCTGGAGGCGGCGGAGCCGCTGCTTCGGCGGGCCCTTGAGGCGAGCGAGCGGACGATGGGGCCAGAGCACCCGAGGACGTTGGCCTCCGTCATCAATCTGGCCGCGCTGCTGCGGGCCCGCGGCCAGCCGGAGGACGAGGAGGCGGAGCGGCTGAACCAGCGGGCCCTGGAGGCCAGCAAGCTTACGCTCGGGCTGGAACACCCACACACGCTGACCTTCGCCCGCCATCTGGAGCAGCTTCAGGACGCGACGCGCGACGAGCGATTCATTCGAGCGCTCCGCGGAAAGAGTGGATCCGAATCTCGCTACGAGCGCCCTTCCCCGGCCGCTGCATGCGCGTCGAGCCCGTCGTCGCTATCGCCGTCGTCGTCTTCTTTTTCTTCTTCTTCTTCTTCGTCTTCTTCTTCTTCTTCTTCTTCGTCGTCGTCGTCGTCGTCGTCGTCGCCGTGGTCGTCGTCGTCGTCGTCGTCGTCGTCGTCGTCGTCGCGGGCCTTGCCGTCGGCCGCCGCCGCCGCCTGCGTCGTCGCCGAGCTCGTCGCCACAAAGCGGGCCAGCGCCTGCGGGCTCGGGCGGGGGCTCCAGTTTCCAGGCGGTTCCTTCGATCTAGGCCTCAGTCGGGCCTGTCCCTCTACAGGAGGGATACTCCAGATTTCGTAATAAAAGGGAGGGGGTCACAATCCTCCCAGACCACAACTTTTAGACCCCCCCAGACCATCCATGAAAGGGCGGCCCTTTGCCCAGACGCCCCCGAACCCTCCAAGACAGCTCAAATTAGACCCCCCCCCGAATGTGACCCCCCCCCCCACTTTGTTATGGAATCCGAAGTATCCAAAAACAGTAGAAAACAGTCAGGGTTTCTAGGCGGTTCCTTAGATCTGGGCTTACGTCGGGCCTGTCCCTCTACAGGAGGGATGTTCAAAGATAGTAGAAAACAGTCTGGGGGCGATTTCGTCCCAAATCCCCCCGTAGGAGGGCACGCCCGACCTGAATCTAGGCCAGGGAACCTCCTCGAAGCCAGATCACCGTGGCCAGAAAGTCCCCACCGGCCCACCCAGAAACGATGCCCAGGCGAGCAGCATGCAGTAGAATAGCGGGCTGGGGAAGCGGTCATACCCCAAGAGGGGGAGGATGGAGGAGGGACCAGAAGAGGAGGATGAGGAGGAGGATGAGGAGGAGGAGGAGAAGGAGGACTAGGACGAGGATGAGGAGGAGGAGGAAGAGGAGGAGGAGGAGGAGGAGGAGGAGGGGGAGGAGGAGGAAGGAGGAGGAAGGGGAGAGGGAGGGGGAGGGGGGGAGGGGAAGAGTGAGGAGGTAGAAGGAGGAACTGGTGGAGGATGAGGATGATGCTGCTGCTGCTGCTGCTGCTGCTGCTGATGATGATGATGATGATGATGATGATGATGATGATGATGCTGAGGATGATGATGCTGAGGATGATGATGCTGATGATGCTGCTGATGATGATGCTGATGCGGCTGATGAGGATAATGCTGATGCTGATGATGATGCTGATGCTGATGATGATGATGATGTTGATACTGATGATGAGGATGAACATGATGATGATGATGCTGATGATGCTGATGATGATGAGGATGATGAGGATGATGCTGATGATGAGGATGATGAGGATGAACATAATGATGATGATGATCATGCTGCTGATGCTGATGCTGATGCTGATGCTGATGATGAGGATGATGAGGATGATAAGGATGATGAGGATGATGATGATGCTGATGATGCTGATGATGAAGATGATGATGATGATGACGATGATGATGATGATGATGATGATGATGATGATGCTGCTGATGATGATGATGATGATGATGATGATGATGATGATGATGATGATGATGATGATGATGATGATGATGATGATGATGATGATGATGATGATGGATGATGGTGATGTGACGATGGTGATGGTGTGGTGATGGTGATGGTTTGATGGTAGTGTGCGTGATGTTGATGTATGATGTTGCATGATGATGATGGTGGTTAGGTGTTGGTGTGATGCTTGCTGCTGCTGTATGATGTTTATGTATGATGTGGAGGAGGAGAGGGGCAGGGGTAGGAGGAGGAGGAGGATGAGGAAGAGGATGCTGCTGCTGCTGCTGCTGCTGTGCTGTATTTTGATGATGTGATGATGATGATGATGATGATGATGATGATGATGATGATGTGGATGTATGGATGAGGAAGAGGAGGAGGAGGAGGAGGAGGAGGAGGAGGAGGAGGAGGAGGAGGAGGAGGAAGAGGAGGAGGAGGAGAGGAGGAGGGCGATCAGAGTGACAAGATGCCTCTCGGATGCCTCTCGGAGTCTCTTCGGATGTCTCTTGTGGGCCTTTTGGCGATCCTGGGGGCCTCTGAGAGCGTCTTGGGTGCCTTGGAAGAGCCTCTTGGGGCCTCTTGGGGGTCTCTTGGGAGCCTCTTGGGGACCTCCTGGGGGCCCGTTGGGGCCTCCTGGGCGCCTCTGGAGGCCCTCTTGGGGCACTCTTGGGAGCCTTGGGAGCCATCTTGGGGCCATCTTGGATGAGATCGATCAGAGATGAGGGGTCACTAAATTCGGCCCCCCCCCCCCCGCCCCAGGAGGCCAACATGTGCCCCAAGCCTAAGTCGTCAATGATTTGTGCTTTCTCCCCGATTCCGTTTTGGACGCCCCAATCGGCCACGAACCCCACCCCTCCTCCAGACCCAGGGTTAGGGGGTATGGGGTGAGGTCAAGCTACCCACCCGCCCGCAAGCCGTCTAGGTCACTCCCACCCGCCCTCCCAACACAGAAGTAGCACCCGAGCCTGAGCATGTTCAGCGGTCGTCTTTCGATGGACAGCTACTGGGAACCAAGGCCGACCCCAGGTGCGCGACGCTTGGGCGAGGTGCGCCACGCGCGCCAGGCGCTCCAGGTGCGCCAGGCACCCCTGGGGCCCAAGCGTGCCAGGCACGCCTCGCGCGCCAGATGCGCCAGGTGCTCGACGTGCGCCATGTGTGCGGCATGGTCCATCCGCGCCAGGTGCGCCACGTCCAGGGCAGGCGCAGAGTGTGCCAGGTGCGCCCGCGCACGTGACAGCACACATCTAGAAACATGTCGGCCCCCACCATCCTTGTCGAAAACCAGTGCACAATCGCGGCGGGGAGGCCATCATGGTGTCTGGTGCCTCCTCCTCCCCCTTCGCCTCCTCCTCCTCATCCTCCTCCTCCTCCTCCTCCTGATTAGGCTGGGTCCAGCGTGATCCGGCTTCATCTGGCCCAAGCTGGCCTTATCCGGCTGAGTTGGCCCCCCCACTTTGCTCAGCAGTCCCTTACAGTGGAGACCCTTGCCTCCAGGGTGCCCTGGGTTTCTTGGGTTTCGATGGTTTTGCTATGGACAGCGTGACGTTCCCACACCAAAAATCAATTGACGTCCTGGGGTCTCAGGGTTGGGTTTCTTGTGGAAGGTTTCTTGTGGTCGGGCCCCTGCTGCAATCTTGCTCCGTCCGGCCCAAGCTGGCCTTATCCGGCTGAGTTGGCTCCCCCATTTTGCTCAGCAGTCCCTTTGCGCATGGCTCAGCAGCTTGCAGTCGTGCCCACCAGGGCCTCTGGAGGCCGCGAGGTCGGCACCAATCCAACATCGGCGGTGTGCTTCGACCGAGGGACGATGATTCCGATCTCGGTGATGGTGGTAATATCCGGGGTTCCCACGGTGCCGAAAGATAACCACCACCAACACCAACACCGGATCATCCTCCACCGGTCCACCAGTAGACGCACCCCCCTGCTTGGTAGTGGTGCCAAGTTCCAAGCCTCCAGCTCCAGGGAGTAGCCACCTGCCTCTGCCTCGGCGGCACACCAACATTCTCATACCATGTGCGCGTTGCCCCCAGGGGCGACGCGCGCACCGAGAAATTTACAGCATATGCGTCGTGGCGGGCGCTTTCTGGCCGTACCGCGGGGGAAACGATATACTACAACATGGCTATACTATATTCGGCCACGCGCAGAGGGGGGTGGGGGGAGGGGGGGGGGCTTCTTAGAAGCACCCCTGCTTCTGAGAAGGCGCGGGCGTCATCTACAGATGTAATTTGATGCCGGCGCCTTCTCAGAAGCAGCCTCCTTCTAAGCAGCCCTCCCAGCTCCCTCCACCCACTTGAGCGCACCGCCGAGAGATGGTTATACCACAGTGGGGGCGTTGGTTAAGGAGCGTGTCCGAGGGGCTTCAGACCCTGGAGGGTTCCTTATCTGATGAGGGCGCATGGAGGAGGGGGAGGAGGAGGAGGAGGAGGAGGAGGAGGAGGAGGAGGAGGAGGAGGAGGAGGAGGAGGAGGAGGAGGAGGGGAGGAAGAGAGGGAGGGGGGGCGGGAATAGCCATTGCCAACCCGCGATTGGAGTTCCACTGGCTTCCAGACCCTGGGTTCCTTGTCCAGTGCTTCCTTATTATTCAATGCCTCCACCGTATATGCTCGGGTCGAGCGCGCGCGCCTCCGAGGAGGACACACAGCACGACCGCGCCGTTTTTGATGCATGCTCCGCGTGCGGATCATGTATCAAAAGTGCAGGGGTTTAGCAAAAACCAACGATGAGTTCATGCATACATTTACTCATACATTAATCATGTATTAACAATCCTATATGGTTAAAACTCATATGTCTTAAAATCTGCCCTGTAGCATGTCCTTGTGCGTCCCGTTCCCTCCCCCGCCGCGCCGAACCGCGCTGGCTGGGCGCTCCCGCCTTGCAGCCCGACCCCGCTCTCATCCACAGCTGCGCCGGCCAGCGCCCCGCCTCGCCCCGCCTCGCTGCTGGCGGCCGCCCGTCGTCGCCGCCGCCGTCGTCGTCGTCGTCGTCGTCGTCGTCGTCGTCGTCGTCGTCGTCGTCGTCGTCGTCGTCCTCGTCGTCCTCATCCTCGTCGTCGTCCTCGTCGTCCTCGTCGGCGGCGGCGGCGGCGGCGGCGGAGGTGTCCATTGGTGCCCGGAGGCCTCCATCGGTACCCAGAGGAACCTCCCCGCTGCGCTCCCTGGCCCAGCGGCACGCCCGGCTGCCCCTGCCGAGCCGACGCGCAGCTCCTCGGCCGTCCTCCGTCGTGCACCGAGCGGGCTCGACGTGCGGGATGCCTCGCCCTGCCGTCCCTCCTTCCCTCGCCCTCGTCGTCGTGCCTGTTCTCGTCCTTCCCCCTCTCCTCCCTCCTCCCTCCCCCCTTCTCTCTCCTTCCTCCTCCGTCTTCCCTCGTCCCTCCTCCATCCTCCCTTCTCTCGCCTCCCTCCTCCGTCCTCCGTGCACCCTCCTCGCCTCCCTCTGCTCCCTCCTTCCACC